ACACACACACACACACACACACACACGTGTGTGTGTGTGTGTGTGTGTATGTTGTATTTGTGCTGATAAATAAATACAGGGAGACTAGTATAGATCTATTTCAAGCTATTTAGCTCTCATCAGCTAGCCATACCCTTACTGGGATTCGAACCTGTGCTGTATTGCATCTTAGGCAGATGTGTTAACCACTAAGCCACAGGTCCTCCTCCTATAGAAACCCTGGTATGCCCCAATTATGGGAGGAAGCTAACTGCTTCCTCCCATAATTGGGGCATACCAGAGCTGATATAGGAGGAGAACCTGTGGCTTAGTGGTTAACACATCTGCCTAAGATGCAATACAGCACAGGTTCGAATCCCAGTAAGGGTATGGCTAGCTGATGAGAGCTAAATAGCTTGAATATATATATATACACACACACATACACACACACACAATGTATATACTGTGTGTATACTCTCTGTGTGTATGTGTATATGTGTGTGTGTATTGTGTATGTATGTATATATGTGTGTGTGTGTATAGTATATAGTTGTATATAGCTTCCATTCTTGCTAGAAAGAGGGTTCTCTCCCCACTCCCTCAAGTGAGTTGACATGAACATCTGGAAGGCGCCAGTCCCCAAACGGAGCCTTCCCACGGAGGAGGAGCTGCTGCGCCTGAGAAGGAAGGGGCGGACCCGGGCGGCCTCTTGGTGCGCAAGGAGGGCGCCGTGGAGGCGGAGGTGCTGACGGCGGTGCTGACTTGCCCGTGGACTGCAAGGGCAACATGGAAGTGTAAGATGGCGAGCGAACTGAGCTTATTTAGGCCACCAAGACTTGCATCCCCCCCTCCCCGCCACTGAAGGGTTAAAAACAAGAGAAAGGCGGGATTTCACTCAAAAGCAGGGAGGAAAGAGAAGCACCGGGCGCGGGTCTGAACTGCCGTTGCTTTCCGGTCATGCACAGACACGCGTTTCCCCGGCTCGTTTAAAGCCTTCGCGGTTGCTTCGGCCTTCTGCAGACGTGGCTCCTCCTCTTGGCTTGGTTTTTATTAAAAAAAAAACAAGCGGTTCAGCGGGTTGTGCGAATGTAGCCCGCTAGTTAGTTCAGGATTCAGCTTCCTTGTGCAAGTCCTGGAAATGATACGGTTAGGGAACCAGATTAATGTATATTAATGACTAGCAAGTCCTTCAATATTACGAGAAGGTGGAGTAAATTAAAGGCTTGAGTCGAGCCTCAGTGCTGATGACTTCATGGAGACACCTGCAGAAAGGGTTTGGCAAACAGGCTTTCTAACCTTTTTATTATTACTTCTTCTTTTCTAAATAGTTTTTAATTAAACATTTTTCTTCATTTTATATCACAATTTCAATCTTTGCAAGGCTCCGATATCAGTAGATCTCATATGTACATACAAGTTATTTACATTTTTCTTCCTTTCCTTCAGTGTACCTATCTATTTTATACAATATGCCATTATTATTGTTACGTCACTATATATTTAACCTTTTTTGTCTCCTCTTAATTTACTTTTACATTCTTAATCTTTACTTCTATTCTCTAACCAATTATACCATGTGTTCCCAAATCAAATGGTATTCAGTTTCTCCTCTTTCTTTTATTTCCATTGTTAGTCTATCCATCTCCGGGCATTCTAGCACTCTGGAGGCAGCCCCAGAGAGGATTTGGCAACAGCAGGGTAGATAGATTGTCATGGCTTTCTAACCTTTTTATTATTACTTCTTGGTGTTGCCTACAACCCTAACATTTCCTAGGGTCTCCAATCCAAATCCAGGTTTGGCTCTACTTACATTTTTTGGCATTGGCCAAATTCAGTTGCTTGCTTCCACCTGCTGTGGTGGAGATTCTCTTGCTGGGAATACACGTAACAACTATATTTATTTCTGCATGGCTTTTTTGGGCACCATCTCTGAATCCAGACTTGTGATCTATTTTGCCACTTTTTGAGAAGTTTGAGAAGCTGTATAGGAGGAAAACAGTTTTCTGTACGGACAATCATATTTGTATATTTAAATAGGTACACATTGCTCTTCTGTGCATTAATGAAAATACACATAAATATGACAAAAAGTTTAAAAAAAACTTGCAATAGTATGCAGTTAACACATTAAAAAGTAATTACTATATATCCAAAAGTAAATCCCAGTTAATTTAGTGGTGGTTGCTTGCTCCCTTGCAGCATCGTATTGATAGGCCAAGCTTCTGGGAGAACAAGATCTAATAAAAAATAAATATTCCTAGGATTTCAGGGCAGTTTTGATAAGAATGTTCTGATTGATAGTTACCCATAAGCAATTTACAGACATTATTGGTGATCAAGCAAGCAGGAAGTTAAATATGTTACTGTTGTTTTATTTGATTATTTCCAATTAATTAGCAGGAGTAAAAAATAAATAAAATATGGATTTGGTTTGGGCAGTTGTTCCTAGAATAGGGCATCCATCTAAGGGCACATTACCCAGACTAGGTAGCATCAATATGTTGGGGGTTATATTGTGGCATTAAGAATGGCAAAACTTTATTTCTCTGTTCTTATGTCTGTATAGCCCTCCTGGCAACCCTGTTTAAAGGATTATTTCCTCCTGTGGGAAAGACAAGCTGCTGGACGAAGGCCGTTGTGACAAATAATCTAGCTATCTGATATATAAAGTCACTTGTTTTGCTTGGAGTTGGATTCTGACTTTTGAGGTGTCTGAGGCATTGTCTTGTGGGTTTAGATGAAACAAGCTTGTGACTCCAAGGAAGTGGACATGGTCTTTGAGAAGACCTTCCTGGCTTGTGAAGGCTACTTAGGAAGTGACCTGTTCTTAGGTCTATGTGATCATGTCATCCTCCTTGAGGGAAAGGGGCCATCTGCCAGTTTTCAAAGACATTGCTGGACATAGTGATTTTAAACAAGTTAGGCACACTTTAATCATCCCTTTTTGGGAAGATTGCTGAAAAATGGAATTGCAGCTCCAAGGGGCCCACGATTATGTGAAGCCTTTTCAATTAGAGTTTGGACAACAGTGTTCACTCTACTTCTAGAGACAAGGTATATATCATCCTCAGCTGCCTTTTGATGTCATAATATTTGATTCATAGTATCCTTCTGGTCCACCAATGAAGGCACCATTCTTTCCCTGGGGCCATTCCAGTCAGTGCTGATTTGGGGAAAGAGATTGTGGCTGAGGCCCCTAATGTGTGTGTGCCTCAGGGCTCAATGCTCCCATCCCCGTTTAGATGAGGAGGGCCTTCATCCTGTGTGCTAATTGACTGTGTTCCTGGCCCTAGTGATGGTGCTGGATTCCAAATAGCCACTGATGCCCTAGACCAGTGTTTCTCAACCTTGGCGACTTTAAGTCCTGTGGACTTCAACTCCCAGAATTCCCCAGCCAGCTGTGCTGGCTGGGGGATTCTGGGAGTTGAAGTCCACAGGACTTAAAGTTGCCAAGGTTGAGAAACACTGCCCTAGACACCTCTCTTGGAATGAGCCCTTGATGTTGCAGCTGGTCTTAGAGTTGATGTCAGTGTTATAAATTTCCATAGCCTTCTCTCTAAATATAATGCTTAAAAATAAATAAATCATATCTATTTAATTTGAAAGATGTATTGGGCATGTTTGGGAATATTAATTTTAATTATCCTAAAGCTAAAACTCCCCATCATATCGTCGTAGTGAAAAGAATGGGATCTATGGTACAAATGGAGAGGAACTACTATTTCTTACAGACCGAAGTATCCTTATTTCTTTAGAAATCCCACAATTCTTTGTTCATTTCCCTAGTATATTGCATTGTGGCCAAAGAGAGGAAAATATCAGCTAGCATCATGCTGAGTGTCGATGCAGTGATAAAGATGGCAAAACATTTTTAAAAATTCATGTGGGCAGTGGTTCTACCCAGCAGACAAGGACACGGGCCAAATTACCCTCTCAAATCCTCTGAAACCATGCAACATTTGTTCTAAAGTGAGCCAATTCACTCATCTCCTATGTTTTTGGTCAATTGAGAATAATTTTCTGTGGATCTGTTACCCTTTTTGATTATTTTTTCTTACAATAGCGGTTGGGCACGGGGACTCTGATTTCTCCAGATGCATATGGAACGCAAAGAACTTCAAAAGAATTAAATAACACCACCAACAAAAGAGAATATATGTCCATCAACAACAACAAAAACACTTTCCATGAAATGATTGTGTCCGTGATTATGTATGAACATAATTGCTGTAGCTTTTCTTGTATCCACACAATGCAATGAGAACTCGAACTCAGCATATTTTCGGAAGGGGCTCCCTTTTCTTGTCCACTCAACCAGTACATTGTAAAGACAACATTAGAGCCTATGGAAGTTTGTGGAAAAGTTGTTGAACTTGTTTGAAAGTGATGAGTGCGGTGGTTCTATTCAAACAGTCGGCTGTGCTTGACATAATGCATTGTATTTTTTAAGTATGTTGCAACGGGGGGACCTGAAAACAGTGTCATTCCCTTCCGTTGTAAATGCTAGTGATATTTTCTGCTGCCTATCTATCCAGCTGTACTCATTGTCCCGAGGATGTGTAGCTAATTTGTGATTAGTGAATGTGATTTTTAAAAAAAAAATGAATCTTGATTTTTTTTTACTCATTTTCTGAAAATAAAATGAGTTTATTGGCTGTTAATTGGAATGCAGTTCAATAAAAAACAAGAGCAGGCAGGTCTCCGGCAAGTCCGTAAACAGATTTGGTTTCAATAGTCTTTGCAAGTTATGGTACACTTATTCTTAGTTTCAGATTAAATGCAATTTTAAAACTGATTTATAAGTAAAATCCTTCCTCTAATTAAGCTTAGCTCTGTGCCCATCTTCCTTTCAACTTTTAGAAGAAAGTTATGGATTTTTAAGGTGGCTTCTCCATACTTGTCCTGTTAAAGTATCACTGTACTTACAATCTCTTTGGATTTTTTTTCCATAGGAAAGATGGAAATGCAGCCCTTCTCAGCAATTATGAGGTAATGTGATTTGTAGTGTTCTGAAAAGTTACACATAGGGTGAATTTTGTTTTCATGACAGTATTGTAATTCAGTAGATCTGGATGGCATTCAAGTTAGGGAAGGTTTTTTTCTAGAATTGAACTTGATCTATGTCCCTCAGCCACCATTATCTGAGGCTGCAATATAATGGGCAGGAATACACCACCTCCTTCATGATGGAGCCTAGGTTAGTAATGTAAGTGTTCTGGACTGGCCAATCCTTTTATGTTTGTGTTTTTATATTTGTTTTATCACATCTTAATTGGTGTCTCCTCATTTATTTCCTTCTTAAAAGACTGGCATCTCTCTCTGCCTTGCATTTAATAATTGCAAAAACAGAAATCATAGAGTTACTGTTACACAATGGGAATTATAACACGCCTTGGGAAACCTACTCTTGAATGAAAATAGATCCTGTCAATAAAATGTTAAACTTTCGTAATGTTAAAATAGGACATTCAAAATGTATCCATCTCCAGTAATAAATAATTGATTTAAAGGGTAGCCATAAAAGAGGGTGGCCATAATTTAAAATGTAGCCATAATGGAGGGTTGTTAGATTGTGCCAGATGAATTACAGATCTGCAAAGAGTTGCTAATTTCCTTTGTTTAATAGCGGTAACAAAAAAGCTCCTTCAAATTAGCTGAAATCACGAACCCTTAAGAATATTTGAAGCAAATGCAAGCTCCAATTATACTACTGAAAGAAAATCGTGAGCGGAATACATTGTTGGAGGCTTCTGTAGTTTTCTGTAGTTTTTCTGCCCATTTTCTTGAGGAGCTATTCAGGATGCATTTAACTGATTTATAGTGAATGTACCTAAAATAGATTTCACTAGTCTAAAGCCTGGGGTAATTTGAGTTTAAATGTTTGGAAAGTAATTGGCTTATTGGAAAGGATTTTCCAATGTCTCCTAATATTTATTTATAGGTATTTAATATATATGAAAAAACATACCATATTTTTGGACTATAAGAATGTAAGACGCACCAAGATTTTGAAGAGGAAAACAAGAAAAAAAATAGTTTTTGCCCTCCACAGGGCAGGCCTCCCAAACCTTATGTGCACCCTGTTTCTGCGAAAAACGGGCCCATTTTTGGCAAAAATGAGACTTGGCGGGCCAAAAATGTTCATATTCGATGTATAAGACAGACCGACATTTTCACCCTCTTTTAGGGGAGGAAGTGTGTCTTATAATCCAAAAAGTACTGTATATGCCCATCTTATATACAATGATACTATATAATAGTATTTAGGAATGATCTTGAGAGACAGGAGGAAGAGCCCCAGACTTGACAACTGTCAAATAAGAGGCAGCAGGAGGAATGAGGGAATACCATACATCTCAGACCCTTCTAGGTTTCTTGGATTTTAAAGATGAGGGAGAAGAGATATTTTTTCAGGCTTGCAAGATTTTGTTAATATAATTTTACCATAAAGTTAGAACTTCTGGACTTGCTTCTTGACTACCTGGCAAGGCTAATACTCTGGGTAATTCACAGGGACATAATAAAACACAAAATAACCACAAAACCAACATAAAAATAACTCCAGGCCCCAGAAAACAAAACTCACCCACAATCTGTGCATCCACATATATTGGGCCCCAGATTCACTTTAGCCCAACATTTGGGTAAAGAGACATTTATTTAAGGCCTTTCAGAAGGCTCTATGCAAAGGTGGGATTCTATTGGTTTGGCCCAGTTCGGGCGAACCGGTAGCTCCGAAGATCAGCTGAGAGCGAACCAGTTCGCTCCACCCTTCAGGTGGGCCCCCCTTGGGCTATACTCACTTATATTTCCTTGTTTTTTTTAGCCCAGCTGATAGGCACGGCAGAGTGGATTGCCACTCCTCAGTTGTTTTCCCGTGAACTGTGCACATGCACGCAGTGCACATCAGGCACGTTAGGTGTGCTTGGCGAACCAGTTGATAAACCGGTAGGATCGCACCCCTGGCTAGATGGGTAGGAATAAGTGATATCGAGCATTTTTAATGGAAGTCACCCAGAGCCACTCAGGTGAGATGGGTAGTGTACATATTTAATATATAAATAAAAAATATTTCAGGGAGGAGAGTACTTTAGTCCTCGAGATGGCCTTTTACCATATTGCTACTTTAAAGTGGTTTTCTGCCACATATTTACTGCAAAGTTCTGGAGATGTTTAAAGCTATTCCCTCCTTCCCAGGTCTACAAATTGTTGACGGATCTGAAGCAGCAGTGCAAAGAGCCTGGGAAGAGCAAGCAGAGTGTTGCCCAGCAGAATCTGAACACAATCACGTATGAAGTAAGTTAAGACAAGACATGAGGAAAAATCTCGTGCTTTGTTGCATTTTCTTTCTCCATCCCACTTGCCTACTTTCATGAACAGGAATCTTTTGTAATTCTGCTATCTACCAGAGTGGATAAAAATCAATAATATTTTTTTTAAAGTAAAAAAGTCAGATTTTTTAAAATTTAAATTGGATTTGTTTTTCTTTTTATCAAATTTATTTTAATAAAATGTTTTTGGAGAAAAATCTAAAGAGTTTTCTATTTAAGATACATTAATAATTTAGTTTATTCAGCATGAAATGGAGCTTAGTTATGTAGTACGACACTGTATATTCTGCAATAGTGGGACTTTTGAGTCAACAGCAGGTCGGAGGAAGAGCTGCTGCGGGACAGATATGACAGTTGCTCTTTGAAAATTATGATTTAAATCGAGATGATTTAAATCAAGCCTTTTTACTAGTGATTTTAAATCTTGATTTAAATTGACTTGATTTAAATCAAATCCACCCTGCTATCTACTAAAAGAAAAAGGAAAATTCAAAGAAGTATCACAATTCATGTTCTTATACAACATGAAAGCCAACTGGATGATTTTGAGCCAGTAACTCTCTCTCAACCCAACTCACTTCACAGGGTTTTTATTCTGAGGAAAATAGGAGGAGGAAGACATGATGGATATGTTCACTGCCTTGCTTTATTTTTTTAAATTAAATAAAGGCGGGATACATAAATAAAATATATCCTTGAAAACAGGATATATCAGTGAAATATTTTTCATATTTTTAAAACCAAAATATCTCTATAATACTACTGGAATACTATAGCTAGCAAAATAATAACAATACAGGTAATCCTCGACTTATTTCTACAATTCAGCCCAACATTTCTGTTGTTAACTGAGAGATTTGTTAAGTGAGTTTGACCTTTCCTGCCACAATTGTTTAGTGAATCACTGCAGTTGTTAAGTTAGTAACACAGTCGTTAAATGAATCTAGCTTCCACACTGACTTTGCTTGTCAGAAGGTTGCAAATGGTGATGACATGACCTCAGGACATGCAACTTTCATAAATACAATTGCCAAGCATCCAAATTTTAATTATATACTGCAACAGTCATGTGAAAAATGGTCATAAGTCACTTTTTTCAGTGCCTTTGTAAGTTTGAATGGTCATTAAATGAATGGTTATAAGACAAGGACTACCTGTAATGACTTAATAAATGGATAAAAAAATCAAATCCAGTCTGAATTGTTAAGTGACTCTACGATGAGCCATAATAATCTCCTATAGTTCTATTACATCCGTCTATCACAACATTTCATTTCTTAAGCCTTAGTATCATATTCTCTCATATTTTTTCTTGTCTTACTCCAGTGTATTATCAGATGTGGATTATTTTGCCATCCTAAAACTGTTCATGACCACTAAAATGAAATAAATAACAGTTTTCACAAGCTCATTGCTCTCGCTGAAAAAAGAACTCAAAGCAAAACATTTTGACTTTAGACATCCACAGTAATAATATTATTTGCAGCATTTGAAACCAGGAAAAAAAATAACTCCCAACTGAAGATGGCCTGCTCCATTGCAGCGGGAATAATATGGAAAATTCTTTTTCTGCCCTTTTAGACACTGAAATACATATCAAAGACACCATGCAAGTTCCAGAGTCCTGAGATTGTAAGAGATTTCCTCATAGCACTGAAAAATCACAAGCTAACAAAGTAAGTTAAAATTTACACCCTGCAACAATGGATTAGAAATGTTTGCATTGGATTAAATATATCCCAACTATTCATAATAATGTTGAATTATTGGTGTTCATAAAAATGCTTTCAGCTCCCACCAGGAGATCCCCTGGTGGTAGGGAGCAAGAAAGTCAGCTGTAATATGTGTGATATTCTCCCTTTGGGATTTTGTTTTTATTCATGTTTTCTGTTTTTATTGCCTTTGTAGTATGTTTTAATAGTAGATGTTGTTATATAACAGGGCCCACATAAAGTCACTTTTTGTGAAATAGGCGGCCATATAAATGTGATAAATTACTTATCTATGGGAAATCCCAAGTAACAGTTTACTGTAATAATATTTGAGGTAAAACTGTATTTAATGATACAAAAATGTATTATATCTAAGTTGAAGATTAAATTCAAAGAGCCTAAGTAAATACTCAGTACTTTCAAATATGAGACAGTATAAGTTCTTATTAATTAGTTAACTGTGGCAAAAGTAATAATTGCTGTATCTGAAAAGACTTGTATGAAGGAACCTAAAATCATTTTGTCAAGATTGTGGATTCAGTTAATGACAGGATTGCCATCGCTAAGTGAAGCAGTCACACTTTATGACTTCATCACTTAGCAATGGAAATATTTATTAAATTACAGGTGTCCTTGACTTATCGCAATTGAGCCCAAGATTTCTGTTGTTAAATGAGACATTTGTTAAGTGAGTTTTGGCCCATTTTACAACTTTTCTTGCCACAGTTGTTAAATGAATCATTGCAGTTGATAAGTTAGTAACCTGGTTGTTAAGTGAATCTGTCTTTCCCACTGATTTTGCTTGTCAGAAGGTCAGAAAATCTGATCACATGATCTTAGGACATAGCAAAGGTCATAAATATGAACCACTTGCCAGGCTTCTGAATTTTGATCACATGATAATGGGGATGCTGCATAGGTCATAACTATGAAAAATGATCACTTTTTCAGTGCTGTTGTAACTTTGAACCGTCACTGAACAAACTGTTGTAAATCAAGGACTAAGTGTACTTAATAAGGGAACTGGGGATTTAAGTCTACTATATAATGTTTATTAAATATTTTGCTTGTTAAACTTTTATCCAACATCAAGTTTAATTAATGCTTGTAATTTGATTTTGGGCCTTCTGGTTATAAACAAAATTGATTGGTTTAAATTAATATTACAGATTAGCAATAGAAAGAGGGACTGGGGTTATCTATCTTTGCATATATAATAAAGAACATTTCTCCTTTAAGAGAATGTGCATTGGGAATGTTGGCAGTCTGCACATTATCAGGAATATCTATCTTCTGCTGACTAGCAGGGGCACTACATGCCCAACAGCCTTTTTTTTAATTAAGCAAATAAACATTCAGAAATTTACATTTTAAAAGCTGAGGAAAATGTTATCTCACTACTTGGGCAAGTAGCGGAAATACCAGACAAGCATTTAGACCAGGGGTATCAAACTCAATTTCGTGGAGGGCAGCATCAAGGGTGTGTTTGATCTGGAGGTGGGGCTGGGAGGCATGGCCAGCTTCATGTCACTCAACGGCTTGCTCCCGCCCTCTGCCAGCAAAAACGGAGTTTGGGATGGCTGTGCGCGGCCGTCCAAGCTCCATTTTCAGCTGCGATAGCCTGCTCCAGCCCTCTGCCAGAGCAAAAATGGAGTTCATGAGGGACCTGCGGGCCAGATCTAAGTACCCTGCTGGCCAGATGTGGCCCGCAGGCCTTGAATTTGACACCCCTGATTTAGACTGTTTGTATGGATCTGGAAACTTCTCATTGGCACTTCTCTCTGCAAAACTCCCTTCAATATATAATAATTTTCTCTCAGATTTGTTTTCTATTCCCAAATCCTTTAAAATAGTCAATTTCTATCATAAATCCTTCAGAAAATAGGTAGTCCTTGATTTATGACCATAATTGAGCCTGTATTAACATCATAAGTTGTGCTGGTCATTAATAAGTCATCATGTGATCAGTCAGATTTTGCCACATTTTTATGTGATCATTAAGTGGTTGGGCCTTCCGACTGTGATTAAGCCGCAATCGTTAAACAAACTCATTGTTTGAAGTGGGCGTTTTCTGCTGGAAAACGGATATAAAGTTTCTGGCAAAAAAAAGTTATAAAATGCAGTCACATGACCCCAGGACACTGCAAACAGCCATCACTGCAGGAGGGTTGCTGACGTTATCACGGACATTGGAACTTCAATCTTTACTTTTACTTTACTTTAATAAAATGTGTATGCCGCCCACTCCCATTGGGACTCTGGGTTGTTAAGTACCTTTCAGGGAGTTCATCGTAACTTTTGAACAGTTGCCAAGTGACTGGTTAATTAGGCAAGGACTATTTGTGGTCAATTTAGTTTGATTCTAATTGTTTTGGCCTAAAAATATTATAACAAAATAAAAAGCTGTGAAGAGAATTGTAAGAATTGTCACAGTAGTTTTCCAATGGTGAACAATATTGTCTTTCTGAGCATTCACTTGATCTGTGTAATTGTTTTTGATAATCCTTATTACCATTTTCCACAATGATGTCTGCAGCAAATTGTGAGGACACCAAAATGACAACAGTAATAAAAAATAATATATCTTATATATATATATAAAAGCAAAATACCACTCATGCATCATCACGAAATCTCCAGAAATATAGAGCCTACAAATTTGAAATTCAATACTTATGTTCCTCTTGGCTTCTAGGTGCTCATTAAGAAAGGAGTTTTTCGAAATGACCATCAGATTATCACTATTCCTTATACAGTATTATATTAACATGCGTCGATGCTAAGGAGTTAGACTTCTACTCCCCCTCCCCACCTGAAAGGAAGTCTGTTCCAACTGCCAGTTGGCCTATATCAGCATGGCCAGCGCATGAATCATCCAGCCTGCAGGCTAGCCCAATCACATGGTTTCGTAGTGAAGCATGGGTATTCAGCTAGTAGTTTGATATAATCACATTAATGCTGTGATTCAGTACCTGCCCCAGAGATCTTGATTTTTATAAGTAATCATGATATTTGCATGATTATATCATCACACTCATTGCCATTTGTTATCCTTCTGACCTCTCCAGCAAATAGAGGAGTCTGCATAAAGGCATCCAGAAAACGTATGGCTGAAGTTGGGGGCTCTCGATTTGCATTCTGTGCTATGGAAGAACATTTCATGTTATATCTTAATGTTTTCCAAGTTAGATATCCATGGTTCTACTTGTGTTGCTAAAACAAAAATTCTCAGAAGCCCCAGCTTGCTTTGCTAATGCTGAGTGATAGTAAGAGCTACAGAGAATCACATCTGGAGACTGAAAATTCTCCATCTGTGTTTACAATGCTCAGTTATACATGTAGGGCTGTCATCCAGGTTCTGTATAGAGCATACATTAGTAGTTGGTACCTCTAGATGGCGCCCATTGACAATATAATTGTTATAGGAAGGCCAGCTCTAAAAAAATATGGTTTTCCTTTTAAAAACAACAACAACAATCTTTTAATATAATTTTTATTTGCTGGCTGGCAATGTGAGGCATTGCAATTTCTATACGTCTGGAGGAGATCAGATTGGGGAAGGTTGATGTATATAGTGCTTTATATTATTTAGCAACTCTTCATGGTAGGTGAGTAATTTTTGGTGCTTCCTGAGCTTGGCTATTTTTTTGCAGATGTGTCATTAGCAGACTAGGTAACATATGAAGATACTATCCCACAGAGCAACCTGAGCTACCAAAATTCTCTTCTATCAATAATTTCCCCCCAGTTAGCTGATATAGTGAAAAAAGAAAAAAAGACCATTGTGCCTTCAGTTGTCCTGTCATATTTACAGGTACTTCCAGCATTTCAGAAGTAATCCAGTTGTCCAGGTTCATATAGAGTAAAACAGGTTTTGGCACCTTCATCTAATAATATCTTAGAAATCAGAAAACAGATATAAGGAGGAGTAGCCACTTGCACAGATTCAAGTTTTGTTATATAGTGATGGCCAAAATGGAGCAGCTAAAAATGAAGCCGGTTCACAATATTAGTGAGAAGAAAATAGCAAAGTGAGGCAACTGCTAAAAAAGCAAAAGCTATTTTTGATAGCCATAATAGGAGCATAGCATCCAGAAGAGAAGATATAACTCTTCCATTCTGTGTTGCCTTGGTCAGATCCCATGCGATTGGCACCGTCTTGGCATTGTATAGAATAGACGCAGATTGCAATGAGTGCAGAAGATGCCTAGATAGGTTTGGAAACAAAACACAGTCAAAAAGTCTGTGTGGGTGTGGCCTATGGAAAAGACAAGTGAGAAGAAATATAGAATTCTTCATTGTTCAGTAACAGTCTTAAAATATATGAAGGAAAAAAAGGAATGAATTTACTCTGTATTGCCCCAGAGAGCATGACCAGAACCAGCAGAATAAAATTACAAAAATGTAGATTCAGACTAAATTTCAGCTGCCATGTGAGAAGATTACTTCTCCTTTGCTAGAAGTCTTCAAACAGAGGTTGGATGCTCATCTATTAAAGATGTTAAAAGAGATCCTGAACTGAGCAGGGGGGGTAGTTTTATTATTTATTATTTATTTTATTTATATATGTATGTATGTGTATGTGTATGTATGTATATATGTATGTGTGTGTGTGTGTGTGTGTGTGTGTGTGTATAGCCACTGACTTGCCACGGGATTTAGGCTGGCTAACAAAAAATTGAAAACAGCAAATAATAAGCTAAAAAATTAAAACATATTGCACTGAGAAGAGTTGATAATCTCCTACTCCTGTGTGGAGGGAAGAGGTATTTTCAGAGACAAGCAGGGTTAGATTCCTATTGGGCGGGGGGAGAAGGGGGGGGGGAATGTTGTTCCAGAGAAAGGCATAGTGAAAGAAAGAACAAATTTCCTGGGTCCCAAAAAATAACACTGCTTGAATGATGAGACTCTGAACATGACAATCCTGTCAAACGTTATTGATGAAAAAAGGTAATTGAAGACCAGCCCAGGCCCTATGTCAGGGATTTCAAACTCAAGGCCCGTGGGCCAGATCTGGCCCGTGGGGTGCTTAGATCTGGCCTGGGGGCTGCCCTGGAAACAGTGAAGGACTGGCCCGCGGTGCCTCTGCCAATGAAAATGGAGCTCGGGAGGGTTTTCACTGGCAGAGTGTTGCAGGAGGCCGTAACAGCCAAAATTGGAGCTCAGGAGCTCATTTTTGCTGGCAGAGCGCTCAGGCCACCACAGGTGCACCACAGGCCCAACACGAGTGATGTTGAGCTGGCCATGCCCATTCTGGCTCCCTGAGATCAAACATAACCTTGATGCGACTCTCAATGAAATCAGGTTTGACACCCCTGCCCTATGCAGTGAAGGATTTTATAGGTGATGGCCAGCACTTTGACCTGCATCCAAAAGTCAACTGTGCAATTAATATAGCAGCAGTGTTTTATGAATCAAAGTTTCAAATGTCCTCCCTAGAAAAGGAAAGTTGGAAATTTATCAGAAATTACACAGCATTGTTTGGTTCAACAATGGGTACTTGAGAAGAAAACGTACCATTGTATCCCTAACCCCAGGCCTACTATCGCTTCACTCAAGAATTAATGTACCACCTCTTAGATTCAACCACTCATTGTCTCCCCGCAGACTTTAATCAATTTAGAAGAATGTGAATCTAATATACATGTGACTTCCTTCACAACCCTGAGGACCCTTTCCGCTTCCTTAGGACCAAGAAAGTAAAACTTCTCTCAGATCAAGCCAGACAATACTTAACTCAATAGGACCTCCATAGTTGCAGTAAGGTTCTACATTTAGGCAAGAAGAATGAAATACACAGGTACAGTATAGGTGGTACCTTGCTCAATAGTAGTAACTGTGAGAGGGATCTTGGAGTCCTAGGGGACAACCATTTAAATATGAGCCAGCAGTGTGCAGCAGCTGCCCAAAAAGCCAACACAGTTCTAGGCTGCATAAACAGAGGGATAGAATCAAGATCACGTGAAGTGTTAATACTTTATAATGCCTTGGTAAGGCTACACTTAGAATACTGCATTCAGTTTTGGTCGCCACAAGGTAGAAAAGATGTGGAGACTCTAGAAAGAGTGCAGAGAAGAGCAACAAAGATGATTAGAGGACTGGAGAAGATGTTGGATAACTATTTGTCTGAAGTGGTGTAGGGTTTCCTGCCTAAGCAGAGGGTTGGACTAGAAAAACTCCAAGGTCCTTTCCAACTCTGTTATTCTAGTATTGATTCTAGTTGGAATTCATTTCAGGTGGATTTTAATGATTTCCCTTAACAGATTACTTGAATAATCTTCAGAGCAGCCTATCAGAAGATCTTCTGA